CTCAATTTCCCTTCAAGTTTAAGTCATTTGGGATGTTCCTTATGACATAAGGCAGAAAAAGTGGATGCGTTTGGATCCTAGGCATCTTGAAGCTGGGTTTTTCAAAGAAATCTAAAGGAGCTAGGCACCCAATCCTAAAAAATCCCATGGGAGCTGCAGGACTAATCTTCCTAGGCCATTCAGTGATAAAACACATTGATAAAACATGCTTGCACACTGCTGTCAGGCTGCAATTTGTTTGTGGCGTTACAAGCCTAGGGCACTAACTGGGAAGCAGCTTTTTAAAAGAAAAAAGTTGAAATGAACAATGGCTCCCACCTGCTTTGGGAAAAAAATAAAAGGCCACCCACTAAGAGCATGTCCATGAGAGCAGCCCTCTCTGCTTCCTCGTGGAGAAAACTTTATGCGAATGGTATAATTTTGCTGAGAAGAGAACAGCTGAGCTGAACCAGACCAACTCCTACAAAGCTTTGAAGTCTGGTAAGATTATTCATCCCTTTTTCCACCGTGCAGCTCCAGTTGCTTAAGTCTGCCAATGAAAAATGTTCCCTTAGGCTTCCACAGTGTGAAAATACCCTTGTATTACTTCTATAGCTGCCAATTTTGCATATGCAGCCACTGATTCTGGGGACAAAATACAAGATGCACAGGCAGGAAGCACAGCACAGTGGAAAGGTCACTGACCTGGAACTCAAGAGACCTGGCTTGAATTCCAGCTCAGATACAGACATCCTACATGACCTTAAGCAAGTCACATAATCTGCACCATGCCTCAGTTTCCCATATGTAAAATGGGGTTAATACTTCCCTGTCTCACAAGGGTGTTTTAAATCTATTAGTAATTTCGAGGTGCTCAGATCCTACAGTAAAGGTGGCTATAAATTAAAGTCATCAAATTTGAAACTGAAGAGGAAATAGCACTTTGATGCCAATAAAGTATTGCTGAGGTCAAAAATTTAACTCAATTTGGCCAAGATCTAATTATCTTCATGCAAAATTAGAACATCAACAACCACAAGAGGGTATGGAAAAAAGATCAAATTAAAAACAAGTTAGCAGGGTGCAAGCATATATCATGGAACAACTGATGCACAGTAAGGAAGAGAGAAATAGAAGCAACTTGGCCCACTTCATTCAAGAGTAAGTTGCCCCACTTACCACAGCATAATTGCAGACATGCAGGCAGTTGCCATATATCAGCTGTCCCACAGCCAGTCCCTGCCTTGTGTTTATGCACTTCAATTTGGCTGTTTTTCCCTCAGATACCATTACAGATATACAAGCTATATACATTTAAAATTTCATACCATAAGCCACCAAGGGCTAGGAAGAAAATTCCCATGGTCAAGTTATTCCACAGTTGTTTCTTGCACAGGGTGACCATCTGTCCCAGGCAAACCTGAATACTCCCAGCTTCCAGTCTGGCCCCGGATGGCTGGTCAAAAGTCCTGGAGCAGAGTCTGGTGGGGATACGGTGCAGCATGGTGCACCAGGCAGGCAATGCTGCTGCTGGGCAGGAACAAGGTGGGTAGACTGATCCCACATTATGCCAGGCCACTTTGACGATCTATTTTAGACAACTGCATATTTTGTAGAAGGACCTGGCATCTTGTCCCAATTGAGGCTTTAATGGGAAAGGACATGACTGGGGCCCAAGGCTACATGCCTCCCAACCTGCACAACAATGACAGATTCTAGGAAAGAGACTGAAGAGCTTTTTCCAATGCCCACTGATGTTATTTTGTGATGTTGACATGTTTCCCTTCCTTCTGCCAGATAAGGATCATTATCTCTGTATATTACTCTCATAGTTCATAAAGAGCTCTGGATACCTGGGTTCTATTTCCAGCTCTTTTCTTCATCCACTGTATGGCCCAGGGGCAAATCATTCAGTGGGAGATGTTCAAAGGGCACTTAGGCATGCAACTCCTATTGAAAGCCACTAGCATTTGACCCTGACTTTTATTGAGTCTTTGAAAACCTCTTCCTCATCCAGAAGTAATGGATCTAACACTATTTAGCTACCCTAAAAGGGTGTGCTGTCTATTTGAGATACATATATGCCCCTTATCTTAGCATCCAAGCACTATGCAAATCCTTAATGCATTTATGTTCATAATACCCCTGTCAGATTTTTTTTTTTTAAATGGTATTATCCCGTTTTTACAAGTGGGGACTGAGGACCAGAGAAACTAAGCAACTCGCCCAAAGCTATACAGAAATCTGTGGCTGTGTGAAAACATGCATACAGGCCTTCCAAGCTATGGGCTAGTACTCTTCCCATTAGACAATCCTCCCTCCACTGTGAGTGTTAATAAGTAACACAAAAAAATGCCAAGTAAAAAAAAAGAAGCTGATTCCTTACCTATGTTACCAAGAGCCCTCAGGCAAACATGACTAAAAGAGCATTACACCTGCAATCTTGTCACACGTTACCTTGGACAATAAAACTAAGATTAACAATGAAGAGCAGAATTTACCCTTGCAGAGCACTTGTCACCCAGAGATCTCTCAATATTTTGTAGAAAGGCAACATTATCCTGCCCTGGCATAGGCACGGGAAACCGAGGAACACAGGAGAGGAGAGACTGGCCCCAGGTCACTCATTGGGCTATTGGCAGAACTGGGAACAGAACCCCATGTCCTGGCCATATGCCACACAAGTGAAACGCAGCTAATTGATATTTCCAAGGAAAGTTTAAACAGCTGGTATGCTCTGACTGCTGCCCATTACACTGACCAGTGTCACCTAACTGTTACCTGGATCCCTTATGGATCATTTGTGGGATCCCCACACATTTTTCATCTCTCACTTGAAATGTACACTCTGCAGGAAAGGGCTTTTCTTCCTTGTCTCACCTTTGTGCAGCACCTAGCACATGTTTGGGGCCCTTCATTAATACTGCAGTGTAGACTAATAATAGTAATGGTCAGAATCACTTTATGGTTTCCAAACAAACCCAGTGCTGTTAAGTCTGAGTTTCCAGCATAGCAGGGAAGGGTTTAATCCAGACAGAAGTGTGAAACCAATAACTTTTCACAGGCCATGAAGGATCTATACCCTGAACATGACATCACATGCTAAATATGACCTGCCCATGGTTTCTGTTCCCCTTCTCACTCACTCACATGCTCCTGTGGTTCATGACTACACCAAGAGATGAGTGCTAGTTTGTCATCACTGTTGATCCACATGGCGGGTGAGATGCTGCTGGGGGTGGATGTCGTGTTTGAGATGTGACCATACCCACTGCTGTCTTGCAGTTAGACAGCTTCTATAGTTGTCAGGCTGACACCATTATCCAGCTAAATTATTTTAAGAACACTTTCAGTAGAAAAGGAGAAGAGAACCCATAATCCTTATACAGGAAGGATAATCCAGGCTTGGGACCAAAAAGTCTAGGTTCAATTCCTTGCTCTGCCACAGCTTTCCTATATGGACTTGAACAGGTCGCATATACTCAAATC